CCTCCCCTCCCCCCCTAAGAGCGTACACCTGAAAATGTTGAGGCCAAAGGTGTCCTTCGGCAAAGAAAGTAATCCTTGGAGACTGTTCCTGAGAGACATTCTACCTCCCTTAAGCTTGATAGGGTATATCATTTGCATAATTAGGGGTTGTTCTCATCTCGGAGAAGTATCAGGATCATTTTCCTTCACTTCTACCTGTTTCCCCCCTCCTCCTCCTTGTTTTTTTATCCTGTATTTCTTCTACTTCTTCCCCTTTTCCTCCGCCTCTTTCTCTTCTCCCTCCTCCTCTTTCTTCTCCTTATTCACATAATAATGATCATTAAGATAACTAGAAACAATCATAGAGCGCATATCACTGCCAAGGCTTGAGGGCCACTGATGCAATAAAAAAAAATCCTATTTGAAGAATTACATTAAAATCACCTTTTTCTCGAGTCCCTATCTGGCACTACTCATGAATCCTTTGGAGAAATTGCGGGATCAGGATCATAATGTGGATCCAGCATCTAAGTTGGGCTAAAACACACCTATGGTAAAAAAAAAAAAAAAATTAAAAAAAAATCATAAAAAAAACTTGTTCTTCACTTTTCAGTTATCCTGCTAGCCAGCTAATCATCAAACTAACCAATGCTACCACAAAACATAATCTTATTGATGGAGGTAATGCTAATGGTAATGCTAATGGTTAAGATAATATTGCTAATATCAATAATGAAAATAATGATGATGATAATGATGATAATAATGATAATACTACTACTACTCCTACTACTACTACTACCACTAATAGTAATGATTATAATCATAAGGCAGTAATAATAATATTAACATTAATAATCATCATTATAATACTAATGATAATAACGACAATTATGATGACGATGATGATGATGACTATGATGATGACAATGACGATGACGATGACGATGACGATGACGATGATAATGATAATGATAATGATAATGATGATGATGATTAATAACTAACTATTGCAACTAACCCATCAAATGACGATATACCAGAACAACCACCTCAGAACAAGAAACCAAGAGAAAATTGAATTAAATGCTCTAGAGTTGAATATATGTAATAAGGAAATAGACTGGAGAGAAATATGCGAAAAGCCTCATTCTGATGGTAATGAGTTGGCCCATGGAGGTGGTGCTTTGTGTAAAAATGAACAGGAAAATGCTACAGAAAACGGCACGACTAGAGCGAGTGTAGGGGGGACTGATGAAGAACGGGACTGGTGAGACTTAGAGGAAGTGGAAACCTTGGACTTATTGGAGGGTGAACTTGATGAAATGAATGTCAAGAACATAGAGGGACTGGGTATGATGCAGGAGGAAGAACAGGTCAGAACAGATAACGGACGATGAAGAATTAATAATGGAGATCGTAAAGGTCAGAATAATGATAAGAAGGACAGATACCAACCGCCAAATATTCAAAACAACAACAAAAATAAATAAGATTGGATAACAATACAATGAAAGACATAAGTGAGAGTAACACACCAGGAATCACAGGTCTAGAGAAAAATCATGTAAACGATATTTAAAACGATCTCCTCGCAGTGTACCTTTAATGAATAAAAAATGAATAAATAACGGAGAGAAGTAAGTGAAATAAATGAAACAACAGTTTCGAAATCCATGAGGATTTCGAAACTGTAGGCTCATTTGTTTCAATAAATCTAGTTTGTGCATTGTGTTTTTTTTTTTTTTTTTTTTTTTTTTTGCCAAATAAAACGTAAAATATATTTACATTTATTTCATATTAAGTTTTGCATTATTTTGCAATGTGATATACATGTATTGAACAATTTTGGGTATTGGTCTAAAATATTCATGTTCATTGACTTTTCCTTTCTTTCTTTCGTTTTAGCTCATACTTAATAGACACTCCATATATCAACAGTAGAAAATCAGACAATATTCTTTCCAACAATAGCATTTACTGCTATCAGTGTAATCGATAATGTACAAAAGCCGAAGTGGGGAGGAAGCAAATACAAAACAGAAATTTAACAAAAATATATTAAATGTCGATTGTGACAGCTTTGTTAGCAGTAAAAGTTTCTTGTTGATTTCATCCATTATTTTAATTTTGAACATTCTACCATCGCATTGTGGATGGAATTCCATAATAGTTTCCTGGCTCTCACTTTATCTGAAGAGAGCTCCAGTCTGGCGATTCGGGGTGAGTGAGTGTGTGCAAGTGAACGTTTGTCTAAGAAATCTTGAACTTTTTAGTGAGGCACCATTGTTAGTTGTAACATAAATCACGCATTTCTACAGTACAATTATATCTGACATGATATGATAATCGGAGCTAATCAAGTAATCATGATAGATTTTGTTTTGGCGGCACTGAACGGTTCTCTCTCGGCATCACTCTAGACATGGATTTTCAGCACAGTTCCTCTCACCAGAAAGGATATATCCCGCTTTGTAGAGGGATCCCTGGGCAGAAGTGAATAGTGTGACCGTCCCTTTCAGATTACGTTATGATCCACACAAATAAATACTGTACCTTTCCACGGCACACCAAGCACGATAGGTGGGCTTGCTCTTGCACGCGCTTTCAATCAGAAACACGTTCTTGTTCAGTGCAGGTGTCACGTCTCTGAAAATGTTTTGAAAATTAATTTTGTGAACCGTTAATTCAATGAAAGCCTGCCTCTCTCTTTCTTTCTCTCTCTCTCTCTCTCACTCTCTCTCTCTCTCTCTCTCTCTCTCTCTCTCTCTCTCTCTCTCTCTCTCTCTCTCTCTCTCTCTCTCTCTCTCTCTCTCTCTGACACACATACACCACGCAAACACATGCAATCACACACACACACACACACGAGCACACAATATACAGGCACATATAAATGCATGATAAATACAATAAATACAATCCATACATTTATGAATATACATACATATATATATAAATATACATACAATATATATATATATATATATATATATAATTATTGTATATATACGTATATGCATATATATATAAATATATATATATATATATATATATATATATATATATATATATATATATATATATATATATATATACGTATATGCATATATAATATATTATATATATATATATATATATATATATATATATATATATATATATATATATATATATATATATACATATATATAAACATATATATATATATATATATATATATATATATATATATATATATATATATATATGTCTGTGTGTGTGTGTGTGTGTGTGTGTGTGTGTGTGTGTGTGTGTGTGTGTGTAGTAGATGGGAACTCGAGGTTTAGTTGCTGCTGCTTGCTGGTCTGGTAATCTTCGATTACTCGTTTATTCGCTTATTTTATTGTTTTCTCGTTTATTTGTTTTGATAGTTTTCGTTGTTAATTTGTTTATTCTTTCATTAGATGTCTTGGATTCACTTGTTATACATTCAGCCGCTGTTGGGCTTTTTATTCGTTGCGCCTCAGTATGTAAGGGCGTACCCTGTTTACTGGTCGTTCCCATGTTGGTTGTAACGTAAAATAGATGGCGCCACTGTCGGAAACCACATACCCGCTCTTACTTTTTTCGTGTGGTTAGGGTATATATTTTTGCCGGGTGCCATCACTCCTGGTGGGTTGTTGTAGCTGGAGCAGGTCGCAGACTTTTCCTTCGTTTTAGCCGGTGTTTATTTTTGCTTCTGCCCGTGATCCACCCACGTAATCTCCGAAATACTTAAGATAAGTATTCCAGTATTATGGGTTTTTATGAAAGCACAACTCTTAACTGGCACGGGAATAACTGCTTGATAACTACCTATGGGTATATGTGGCTGAGGGTTTGGCCTTTACTTCCGGCTTTATTTGTTCGTTTGTTTTGTAGCTAGTTGTTCCGTTTGATGTTTTGTCCTGTGGCATGCTCTCAATGTTTTGTCCTGTGGCATGCTCTCAATGTTTTGTCCTGTGGCATGCTCTCAATGTTTTGTCCTGTGGCATGCATGTTTTGTCCTGTGGCATGCTCTCAATGTTTTGTCCTGTGGCATGCTCTTGATGTTTTGTCCTGTGGCATGCTCTCAATGTTTTTCTAATGTGACTGTTCTTAATGTTTTTTTTCTAATGTGACTGTTCTTAATGTTTTTTTTTCTGATGTGACTGTTCTTAATGTTTTTCTGATGTGACTGTTCTTAATGTTTTTCTAATGTGACCGTTCTTAATGTTTTTTATGATGTGACTGTTCTTAATGGTTTTCTAATGTGACTGTTTTTAATATGTTCAATAAATATCGTAATAGTATTGTGAATGTTTTGGTTACCCTGCACCATGATGCGTCCATCTCAAAGTAAAGTTCTGAAGAGGGATCAGTAAAGATGCATTAATTGGGCACTACATATGTATGTATGAATGTATATATGTATATGAATATATATATATATATATATATATATATGTATATATATATGTATATAATATATAATATATATATAAATTATATATGTATATATATATATATATATATATATATATATATATATATATATATATATATATCCCCTCCCAAGGGGGGAGAGGGTCCTCGCAGACTAATTTCCTAAGGGGGGGGAGAGGGGGGGAGGGATGAAGGGGAGAAAC